ATTTTCATAAAAGCAGCAACAAAATGGGATTGGCACCGATACTGAATTAACTAGAATGGATTAATAGAACATATAAACTATGCATTTACTATTTTTAAATTAATCTAGAGGGTACCCTCAGAGTCAAATACTAAGCATCTGCCTATGGGGCCACCCTTCAAAACAACTTCATTAACAAAAGCATCTCAAAAAGCCAACATAATGCAAAATCCACGATGGCTGAGAGTGACGAACATTCCCAGAGCACAGATATCCCTGTTATCTCTCTCAATTATACATGGTTAAATCACTGATAATAATAAAGAAAATCGTTAAGGCAGTAAAGATGTTTTACTTATTTTTCTCATTTATTTTGACTCAACAATAGCAGCACAAGCTATACATTCTATTTTCTTAAGAAATAACCCTGTTTTCCACAGTATGTAAACATCTTACTTTATCTAAAAAGGGCTATTTAATTCTAAGACCAATTTATTAACCAAACTACTTTCCAACATATAATGAAGATCAACCACTTAAACATCCAAATTCAGCTGTATTCACCACAGAAGTTATTGTTTATAATGCTCTCCAGCATAAAAACACTGCTTTATATTCTCTTTGAAGTCATTCCCAATAGGTTTTCTCTCTCGAAGATTCTCAAAGCAGCATCTGTAAATCCAAGTTTCACTGAACTCTTACATTAAAGAATTCCTTTTTTATATAACCCGTTGCAATTCTCCTACTACATTAAAGAAGAAATTCCTGAAGTCAATTCACTAGACCCACACTGGAATCCATTTTACAAACTCTAATTACCTAAGGCAAGATTTCTTAAAAACTCTAAGACTAAACTGGAACAAGTTATGGAGAAATTAGCATAGTCCCTGCACAACAGATGACATGCAAATTTGTAAAGTGTTCATTATTTAACAAAAATCCATGTGATAAAACGATACCACTCCTGTAATAAAGACCTTAATGGAGTAGGCAGCAAAATGGTATAAGAACAGATGTGTCCAGACTGCCTTTCCTTCTTTTCTCTTTCTTCCCTACCTCTTTAGTTTGATGCCTATATACAATGAACATTATTTAAAGCACAGTATATGAATATCATTAAAGTAAACAGTTTCTTTCAGGACATGTAGTAAATTTTCTGCCCTCTGAAACCATAACATTTATTGAGCCCTGCACTACATAATTTTACATTATTAGCCATATAATTCTCAAAATTGTCATATCAAGCGCAGAGTGGTGATATAACCCAATTCATACGATGAAGAAGCAAAAGAGAGGTTAACTAAACCTGCGAGCCAATGAAACGGGGCACAGGGTGGCAGGAATCTGACAAGCCTAGCTGCACCAGCACTCCACCACCCACCTTCTGCCTCAGGACATTGACTGCACTCCAGAATCCATCAACAGCCTGTCCAGACATCACTGCATTCATCTCTCTCATTCCATCACCCTTCTCTTTTATATCCTTGGTCTGGATTATGGATTCATAATGCAATTTCAAGTCAAGCTGAACTGGGGCTAAGGAAAAAAAATGGGAATTGTAAGGTGCATGGTTGAAATTGTCTGTAATTTATGTTTTCTGGCAAGAGAAGAACTTCATTGTTGTGTCATAATATTAAGAAATAATTCTTCCTATAATACAGTTAAGAATATTCTCTTAAGGAAAGGGTGAAGATGATGTAAAAAGCAACTTCACTACTTTTAGCAGAATACAGAAGGACATCTTTAAATTCTGTAGGAGCAAAAAACGGTTTTCCTCAGAAGACACAAAAAACACATACTATAAAGAGACATTATTAATTTATAGTTATATAAATGTTATACTATATAAATGAAATTAATATATAATGTAATGTAAATGATATATATGTGTATAATGTGTTTATATATAAGATATATACATTTACTGCATTAAATAAAAAATTTCTGAACTGACAAAGACAATAAGATGGGGAAATCAAAGACAATCATAAACTAAAAGACTATGTATCTTAAATAGATCATGGCCAGATTTTCATGTCTTTCCACCTGCATGGGGCACTCGCACATTTCCCTAGGCGAGCACCTATATCTGGTATGATCAGACTTTAAATCTTTGCACATGATGGATGTAACAATGGTATCTTATTGTTGTACTTCGCCATTTCCCGATTACTCTGTGGATTACTACAAAAAATGAGGATCAGTTTTCTGTGGTACTAGGTATTCGTATTCTGAAACTGCCATGTTATACTGTTGCCATTTCTTCTGGATTGCTGGGGTTTTCATTATTAATCTGGTAAATTCATATAAAGTCACATTTAAATATTAATTAGTGGGAAAGTGGATGTTTTCCTAAAAGTAATATAACGGTATTTTAATAGTAGAAGATTGGCAAGTGTAAATTGGATTGTGGTGACTCACTTTTCTGATTTTGAGCCTCCCTATCATGTTACTTCATCAATAGTGTTATTTCTGCTTTAAAATGAAATTTTATTACAATCTAATTAGACTTTACAACATATGCTAGAAAGTATTGAATAGCAATTAATTCTCAGAATAACAGCCTCATTACGTACCAGAAACATCAAATAAACAATAAATTCCCATTTAGACATCAAGTGGCAATGAATTTTTGAAATAACATGCGAATGTGTGATGGATTAAAGTGATATACTCCAGACAGTTGCTGGTAATATAATTCAATATAACCAACTTACAGGATGTAGCAATCTGTGAAAAGCTTAAAAAATGTATAATCTGACCTCTGTGGTTTCACTCCACAGGAATCTATTCCAAAGAAAATAGTCAATAAGATTCTCATTGTACACCCAAGGATCCTTCTCAGCATTACTCCCAGATTAGCATTCATTCACTGAAAAGTTGGCTCAGAAACAACTTAAGCAGTAACAGATCTGTTTTTTCTTTAAGAAACCCCTATAAGATTAAGTCAGACTCACACACATCCCTGTACTGAGCAAACAAAACAAGTACCCAGACTAATATTTAATTTTTCCATACAGTAAAATGGAAAAACTTGATTTTTAGACTATTTCACAAGTGCATTTAATTTCGTCCTCTGAGATGAAACTCCAGTCAAACCACTGAACCTCTTCTGTCACTATAGGATTTATTCACATTTCTATGATTTATGATAAATGCATCTCATTATATTGTATGTAGCCTTTTGCAGTCCCCTTCTTTCACTAAAATGATAGGAGATTAGCCATTCTGCTAGATAAATAGTTCTTCTTTATGGGTAGTAGAATAACACTATAGGTAGACATACCGACCATTTCTATCCTTTCACCTGCAAATGGACATATAGATGTTCCAGTTTGGGAGTCATCTATAAATAAACATGCTATGTACTGTTCATGCAAGTCTTTGTATGAGAATAAAAAACTAAGTATATGGAGGGTGTATGTTATGTTTAAAAATTGCCAATGTTTCCAAAGTAGTTACATCTATTGATACATTTTCACCCAGAGTTCGTTCCTCCATCGATCCTCATCAACACTTGCATGGTTATGTTTGTATTTAGCATCTCAATAAGGTATAGTTAATGGAATTATTTACTTTATTATTTATTATGTTTTTCCTTGATATAAATTAAATGTTAAGTTTTAACATTTATAGCTGCCCTGGAATGCCAATGGATTTTCTTATAGTTATAAAATAATGACAGGGCAACAAAATGATAAGATATTGTGGAAAAATTCATGTTTGGATGGATGAAGATATCATTTTAAGTGTCCCAATTGTATCCCTGAACCGGCCGGAGGCGCGGAAGGCCCGAGAGAGCGCTGCGCCGTCCGGATCTCTGCTCGGCCGCCGAACTCGCGCCTGGGCGCCGCGGGCGAATGTCAGCCGGCGAGCAGGCCTTGAGCGCCGGGTCGGGGGCGGCGCGGGCCCTGGGGAGCCGGGCCGGGTTGGTCCGGGTCCGGGTCCGGGTCCGGGTCCGGGTCTGGGTCCGGGTCGGGGGCGGCGCGGGCCCTGGGGAGCCGGGCCGGGTTGGTCCGGGTCCGGGTCCGGGTCCGGGTCTGGGTCCGGGTCGGGGGCGGCGCGGGCCCTGGGGAGCCGGGCCGGGTTGGTCCCGGTCGAGTCGGGTCGGGGGCAGCGCGGCCCCTGGCGGAGCCGGGCCTGGTTGGTCCGGGTCGGGTCGGGTCGGGTCGGGGGCGGCGCGGCCCCTGGCGGAGCCGGGCCGGGTTGGTCCCGGTCGAGTCGGGTCGGGGGCAGCGCGGCCCCTGGCGGAGCCGGGCCGGGTTGGTCCGGGTCGGGTCGGGTCGGGTCGGGGGCGGCGCGGGCCCTGGCGGAGCCGTCTCGGGGCTGCGGAGCCCGTGTTCCCCGCGAGCGGCCCGGGTCGCAGGACACCGCTCCGGGCTGGCTCTGGCCGGTGCCGCCGGCCCGGGTTTCCGCGTGGGCGCTGCGGACGTGGGTTCCGAGGTGTTCGCCGGCGTCCCTGGCCAGTGGCACCCCCGGTTGTGACAACGTCTCAGTTGTCCCGAGGGGGGGCGCGCCCAGGAGCCGACTCTCGGTGGAAAGTGTCAGACGCTGCAGGGAAGCAGAGGGGCAGGGAGCAGCTGAGGGACAGGCTTGGGTGGCACCCGGGCGCGAGGCCGGGTCCCCAGGGAGCTCCCTGTGCGGGCCGGAGGAGGGGTCCTGAGGGTGTGTGACCCCTGGACTGAGTCGCGTTAGTGCCACAGTGCCGGGCCTTCTCACACGCACTTCCCTGCATCCAGGTCCACGCTGCAGGATGGATCCCGCCCGCTCGGAGGTCCGACTTGCTGTCCAGGAGGCCGTGCACACCCTTTCGTCATCCGAGGATGGTGGCCACATCTTCTCCACCCTGGGGACCCTGAAGCGGTACCTCGGTGACACGGAGAGCCCAGCCCACCCCAAGGAGAAGGAGGAGTTTGCCACGGTGCACTTCTCCGCTGTTCTCAGATGTCTGGCCGGAGTCCTGAGCCCGAGCTGGCTGGAGTTGTTGCCCGACGGGCGGCTGGAGGAGCTGTGGGCCAGCTTCTTCCTGGAGGGCCCCGCTGACCAAGCCTTCCTGGTGCTGATGGAGTCCATCGAGGGCACTGCAGGGTGAGTGGCGCTGGACCTGAGCGTGGGTTGTTTGTCACCTGGGAAGCGTAAGAAAGACCTGTAGGACCCTGAGCAAGCAGGTTCTCTAAATTCCATGGGAGTGCAGCATCCTAAAAGGTGCTGGGGTTGAGAGCAAAGAGCCGAATGCCCGAAGGTCAAAGCAGGTTGTGTGCCTCTCCTCTGCAGTGGGAAGGGCCCGCAGCCTCTCAGAGACCCTTGCCATCTCCCTGTGCGCGCTGTGTGCTCTGTCCTGCTGTGTCGGAAGATGGGAGTGAGCGTGTTCTTGTCCCCTGGGCCCCAGTGACCCGGGCCGGCAGCTGGCGTGTGCTGTCTTCCTGGGGCCCTTTCTGCCGCTCTGGCTCCCAGCCCTGCAGTGAGGTACCCGGGCAGTGCAGGAGACTCACAGGGCTCCCCGGGACACTCCAGCTTTCAGGGAAGCACAGCGTGGCCGGCAGTTGTCTCATGTGGACTCCTGGCTCCAGGTGGCTCCCACATCCAGCATCAGGCCACTGTGGTCCTTGTGAAGGTGTGGTGCTTGTGAGGAGCTGCGTGTTTGTTTATTTTTTTATCTTTTTTTTTGAGGCAGAGTCTCACTCTGTTGCCTGGGCTAGAGTACCGTGGCGTCAGCCTAGCCCACAGCAACCTCAAACTCCTGGACTCAAGCGGTCCTCCTGCCTCAGCCTCCCGAGTAGCTGGGACTACAGGCATGCGCCCCCATGGTCAGCTGATTTTTTCTATATATTTTTAGTTGTCCAGCCAATTTGTTTGTATTTTTTGGTAGAGATGGGGTCTTGCTCTTGCTCAGGCTGGTCTCATACTGGTCTCAAACTCCTGAGCTCAAATGATCCTCCCGCCTCAGCCTCCCAGACTGCTGGGATTACAGGGGTGAGCCACCGTGGCCGGCCAGGAGCTGGGTTTTAGAGGCTGCTGAGCTACAGTCGGCGTGGGGCAGGAGGGGACGTGGAGCCCAGCGTGACTCCAGTTGGGGGAGCTGTGTGGGTCTGGCGAGCTCTCACACCCCACTGGTGATCGTGGTGGATTAGGAGTGGCATTAAAAGGCTCTTTTCTTTTATCGTTTGTGACCAGAACCTAAGCTTATAAGAGAGACTTTTTCTTTTAACCAATGAATTTGAACAAAAATGCTAATCAAGTTGTCGGGACTGCCTGTTTAGTGAGGGGCTGCTGGGAGTCCTTGTGGCTGCGGGGAGGGGCTCCGAGGGCTGTGCCCAACGCTCCCGTGTCTTCAGCCCCAGCTTCCGCCTGATGAGGACGGCGCAGCTGCTGGCCTCATTCCTGAGGACGGGCAGGATGGCGGCCCTGATGGAGGCGCAGTGTCGGCAGCAGGCGCCGCCCGGCTTCCCCCTGCTCCGGGAGACGCTGCTCGGCAGGGTGGTGGGCTTGCCCGATCGCCTGGGCAACCGCCTGCAGCGGGAGAACCTGGCCGAGTTCCTCCCTCAGAACTACTTCCCTCTGCTCGGCAAGGAGGCCGTCCGGGTGCTGCAGGCCGTCGTGGACTCTCTCCGAGGTAAGGCCCTGCCTCAGTGTCCCTCTGCCAACCCCTCTTCTCGGGCTGTCGTCCCCCCTTCCCTGTGGGGTGTCCCGCAGGTCTTTGCCGTCTCCGGGTGGAGCTGTTTGGCCAGGTGACGTCCCCTGTCTTGAACAGCAGTGACCACTTGCTGAAGTTTCATCCTTCCTGGCTTTTGGCGTCGGGAGGTGGGGCTGCCCCTCGATTCCTTCAGTTCTTGGCTGGACGCTTGGCAAAGTCATCGGGATGCGGTTTGCCGCGCTGTCCCCCGCTCCGCGTCCGCAGGAAGGTCCCTCGCTCTGAGCAGCGGGAGGCTCGTCTCTGTTCTCGGCTGAGGTCCGTTCCCGGCTGCCTTGGGTTTGTCTCAGTGGCCTCTGTTTGCTGGGTGTTGTGGTGCTGCGGCGTGCTGGGGCGGCAGGGTGGAGGCCGCCCCATGTGGGCAGGTGCTGTGGCCTCTCGCTCACCTGTCGGTCAGTCACACAGCCTGCCTGGCGGTTTAGGTTCGCGCCGTCTTCACTGGGGCATCAGAGGTGGCTCCTGGCTGGTTCTGGGGGTGCGTGCCTGTATTCCCAGCACTTTGGGAGGCCGAGGCCGGAGGGTCGCTTGAACCCAGGAGTTTGAGGTTGGAGTTCAGCTGTGGTGACATCACCACGCTCCAGCCTGGGTGACAAAGACCCTGTCTCAAAAAAAAAAAAGATGAAACAGTGGCTCCCAGTTGTGTGTCCAGGTGGGGAGAGTGCCGTGCTGGAGGGGCTGCCAGGCCCTCGGCTTGCTGCAGCACCCCCCCCCCCAGGGCGACTCTTCCTCCGTGCCTTCCTCCAGCTCTGCACAGGCCCAAGAGACTCCTCTGGCCGCTCCAGTGGCCCTGGCCCGGCTGTCCCCAGCCCTGCTCCATGGGCCACTCCCACCTTGTTCCCGCCAACTCCTCCTTCCAGGGCTCAGGCCCAGCTGGGGGGGCCTTGACCTCTGCACAGCCCGCACCTGCCCGAGCCACCTCGTCTCACCGGGTGCTTGCAGTGACCTCCTGAGCGCCCGCTCGGAGCCACACTGTGCTCTGGCTGACACCTTAAGGCGCTTTGGGATGCGCCCAGAACACATTGGGAGCACGTCTCCCTCACGCCCGCAGCGGGCGCATGGGGTCCACCTCGCCTGACATGCGCGCCCCTCCCTGGTCACCCGTGCGTGGCTATCGTGGCCCCGTGGCTGTTGTGGCTGTCCACCAGTCAGCCTCAGCAGCCCTGCCCCTCTCAGAGCTGGCGCCCCTGCCCCTCCCCTTGCTCCCCATGTCCCCGCAGGGCTTGCTTCGTGGCTGCGGGCGTGTGTCCCTTCCCTGCGGGTGGCGCTCTACACTCCCAGGCCCACCCCACGTGGCCGGCCCGCCGCGGCCGGGTCCCCTCAGGCCTCTTTTTCCTCTTTGGTGATGCTATTCTCATGCTGACTTTGTAGGGTCATCGTAACCCATTAAGTGACCTAACATGTGCGACGCTTTTTAAACGTTTACCGATGGCTGTTCCAGTTAAAAGCAGTCCTGTTAACGCACGGCTAGCGTTTGGAATTGGAGCGAGCTGGGTGGCTTGGGGCCTGCCTGTCCAGGAGCAAGGCCTGTCTCCACAGGCCAGGTGCTGCGTCACTCTGTTTCCTGTAAAGGGTCCCCCTTTCCGTCCCAGGTGGCCTGGACTGCTCGGTCTCCTTTGTGTCCCAAGTCCTGGGGAAGGTCTGTGTCCACGGGAGACAGCGTGAGTACAGCAGCGCTTTCCGCCCTGCCCCCACCCCGCCGGCCATCGTGTGGACAGTCGAGAATCCCGCCCGGCCCCGATCCCCCGCGCGCCCCCTCGCTGAGTCGGCTGCATCAGCTGTCCAGGGCCCCTCGGTCCGGGGCTGGGCTGTGCCAGCACGGGAGCCGGTGGGGCTCCCTGCACGCACCCTGGTGCCGCTCCCGAGGCTGAGGCTCCGTGTGTCCCCTCAGAGGAGATGCTGGGCGTGCTGGTGCCCGGGCTGACCGCGCTCACCGAGGGCAGCTGCCTCTGGCAGCGGGTCTGCTGGCGCCTGGTGGAGCAAGTGCCGGACCGGGCCGCGGAGGCCGTGCTGACGGGGCTCGTGGAGGCCGCTCCAGGGTAAGCAGCCCGGCGCTCTGCCTGCTGCCGACGCTTCCTCTGGGGGTGGGCCAGACTCTCCTGGGGCTGCCGGTCCTTCACGCCGCTTTTCCTGGGCGCCAGGCTGCAGCCAGTCCCCCGTGTTGGTGCCCCAGGGTGTGACGGCCACCCCCCCGCCTGCTGGCCAGTCCCCCGAACTTGCTGCTTCGGCTAGCTGTCAGAATGGTCGGGCAAACGCAGGTGCAGTGGTGACCACCTGTGTAATTTCTTTGTTTTTTATTTTACTTCATTATATTTTGAGACCGGGTCTTTCTCTGTCACCCAGGCTCGAGTGCAGTGGCATCGTCATAGCTCAAACTTCTGGGCTCAAGTGATCCTCCTGCCTCAGCCTCCCGAGTAGCTGGGACTACAGGCGTGCGCCACCACGCCTGGCTATTTAGTTTTTTTTATTTTTAGTAGAGACGTGGTCTCGCTCTTGCTCAGGCTGTAAATAAAGTTCCGCTGGCTGCTTTTGGCCACGTCAGCAGGAGTGAGTGGTTGCCGTGGAAACCGTGTGGCCTATAACCCTAAAACATTTACTCTCCAGCCCTTCACAGAAAAGGTTTGCTACCCCTGCTAGACGAGGAGCTCACCTTGGACCTGGTCAGAGCCAGGCCAGGACCCCTTAGAGCTGGGGGCCAGGCTCTTGGGGTCTCTGCATTTAGGCCCTGCAGAAGGAAGGGTTAAAGCCGACCGAGATTGTCTGAGGACTGGTCCCCAGGCTCATGGCCAGCAAGCGGCAGGGCCCAGCACCCATCCTGGCTCTGACCCCGGCGGGTTCGTGCCTTCCTCTCCCCTCCCCTGCACCTGCCCCCGACACGGCCCATGACGCTGGCCCCTCCGGACTCCACCTCCTAGGCCTGAAGTCCTGTCTCGGCTGCTGGGGAACCTGGTGGTAAAGAACAAGAAAGCCCAGTTTGTGATGACCCGGAAGCTTCTGTTCCTGCAGTACCGACTCACGGTGAGAGCTCAGGCGAGGGCGTGGCGGGGCTGCCCCAGGTACAGCGGCTACAAAAGCACGCTCAGAGCAGTGTGTGTCACCTGCAGGAGCCAACGTGGCAGGGGGTCCGTCCTGCCCGTCGGTGGGCCCTGTGGTGCCGGGTCTGGGCCAGCGCGTCACACGTCCCTTAGCCCTCCCAATCCCCAGAGGCCGCCCTCACCAGCTGTGCTCTGTGCCGGGTGGATAGGTCTGTACCCAGGCTGTGTGCTCCCCGACTCATGACTGCTGCTGTCCCTGTGTCCTGGTGCTGGGCTCTGCCCCCAGGGCTGGTGGCTGTCAGGGTGGGTGTGTGTCTCCGGCTGTGGCGCAGGGCAGGACAGGCAGGCGGGCAGGCCAGAGCCGGGGCGCACACGGCCTGGGGCTCGCTCGTCTTCTCACTCGGCAGTACTTGGCAGGTGCCCACCACACACCGAGTGCTTTCTTGGGCGCCGAACGTCCCACTGTGGGCAGAAGAGCCACAGGCCCTCCTCGAGGGGTTGCCACTAGGGAGGGAGGAAGGAGCCGAGTGTGCGCACCACGGTGTGACGTGTGGTATGTGCACGCTACCGTGTGGCCTGTCAGGTCGCTCGGGCCCAGGCGGACAAGCGCCCGGGGCTTGTGAAGACTTTGTGTGGAGACACTGGCAGCAGCGGGTGTGGCCCCCAGGGACAGGGCCTGGTGACAGGGCCCAGGTGGCAGCCTTCGGGGCAGGATTGGCGGGCTGGCTGGAGCTGGCGCTGGGCCCCGAGTGGCTGCGCAGAGCTGGAGGCTGGGGAGGAGGCAGAGGCGAGGGCGGCCAGATCCAGAGCCTATGGCACCTTCATGGTGCGATGGGGCAGCTGGAGGGATGGAGCAGAGGTGACAGTACCCGACTGTCACAGAGACCCGGTCTGACTGCTGTGCAGGAGGCCATGGGGGCTGGGGCAGGAGTGGGCCTCACTCGCACCTGCCTGCAGCGTGCGGAGCCCTGCGCTCCCCGGGGCGCAGCGCAGCCCAGCTGGTGTCGAGGCAGGGCGGGCGTCACCTCGAGCTCTGCGCAGCCCAGCCGGTGTCGAGGCAGGGCGGGCATCACCTCGAGCTCTGCGCAGCCCAGCCGTGGGAGGGGTGACGAGAGATGCCACCGCCGCCCCTGCGGGGAGAACAGCCCGGGCTGTCCTGCGAGCATTCGAGGCCCCTGAACCCGAACGAGCTCACAGCCTTCCAAGCCCCTGGCCACGAGACAAACCAGGGGACGAGGCCACAGAGAAGACACGCAGGTGCCGGAGTGGACGTCCGGGGGTCGTGGTCTTGGGGGTGGGGCTGTCGGGACGAGGAAGCAGCACCCAGAGGGGACGGCTGAGCAGTTTCCTGAGCAGAGTAACCCGAGGAGCGAGCAGGTGTCGGCGGGAAGCACCGGGCTGCGGCCTGCGTGAGAGGAGGGATTCTTCCCCTGGGGGATCAGTGACAAGAAAGGCAGTCGGGTGGGAGCAGAGGAGCGGCACGTGGGCCAGGGCAGACTGTGCTGGGGCGGAAAGCACGCTGGGCGCGGAGGACCGGCGTGAGTCGAGGCGGCACAGGCCCGCGGTGTCGCGTGGCTCCCAGCCCACATGTCTAGAAGGTGTCCATGCTGTGGTCACTCCGTGCAGCCAGTCTGAAAACCTGATGGAACGGAAAACTCCCTCAGGAGGATTTTGTGCCCAAGAGGACCCGTGCAGAAGCAGAGTGAGCCCCGTGCGGCCGGAGCTCGCCTTGTCCGCAGCTTTCCTGGGCCTCCACTTGCCGGGGCCGGAGGCGGCCCCTGCACGCACGTCCTCGGCTGCCGGCCCAGACCCGCGCCCATCCTGGCCCCGGTGGGATGGCTCTCGGCCTCTGGGAGCCCCGGGCTGGGCGGTGAGTGGTCTCTGCCTGGCAGACAGGACTTGGCTCTTGTTGCAGACGCCCGCGCTGCAGAGCCTGCTGGGGTACCTGGCCATGGACAGCCAACGGCGCCCGCTCCTCGTGCAGGTAAGTGCCGCCGGTCCCCGCGTCCCCTCGGGGCCCTGGGAGAAGGGCCGTGCAGGGCCCACCTTCTGGGGGCAGGGCAGAGGGGCCGGCTCTGCTCCGTGGCCTGTGCTGGCGAGGGGAGTGGGCGCTAGCCCACGTGGCCCCGGCCGTGCCGCCCGCAGGTGCTGAAGGAGCTGCTGGACACGTGGGGCAGCAGCAGCGCCGTCCGCCACACGCCGCTGCCGCAGCAGCGCTACGTCAGCAAGGCCGCGCTCATCTGCCTGGCGCTCCTGGGGGACGCGGAGCTGCGGGACAGCCGGGACGGTGAGCAGGCGGTGCGGGCGCCCCCAGCCCTGGGCGCCGCGAGGTGCTCAGGGCGCACGTCTGGTGCTTCCAGAACTGCTGGCCAGCATGATGGCGGGTGTGCAGTGCCGCCTGGACAGCAGCCTGCCCACCGTGCGCCGCCTGGGCATGGTCGTGGCCGAGCTTGTCAGCGCCCGCCTCCACCCTGAGGGGCCTCCCCTGAGGTTCCAGGTGAGCGGGGCTGTCCCTCCACGTCCCCTCCGCGTGGCGGGCCCGGGTCTCCCAAGAGGCTGTCACTGCAGCCCCCACGTCGAGTCACCTTCCGGGGGGAGGTCCAGCCTCGGTGTTGGCCATGCCCAGGTTTGGGGGTCCAGGTGTAGCCCTCGGCTCCTGGGGGCCAGGCGGGGTGGGGCTGAGCACCTCTTCCCCAGAGCGGACGCCTGCACGTGTTGACAGGCTCATCTAGACGGAGCCAAGCGAGGCCGTGGGTGGAGGGAGCAGTTGTCCCTGGGTGTCCCCTCCCCTGTCTGCCGAGCCCCCGGGGGACTCCCTGCTCCTCCAGGAGAAGTCGGGGCCCGTCTGGCCCTCGGCACACCTGTGCTGCCCTCAGACACTTGGAACGTTGCCTCTGAGAGGCGACCGGCCGTCCGAAGCTGCGCCACGGGAGAGGCTGTGCGCCAGGGCCGGCCGTGCCCGTCCCCTGGGGAGATGGCCGCTGGGCGTCACTGACCCGGCCGTCTGCGCCTGCAGTGTGAAGAGGACGAGCTGAGCCTGGAGATGCGGGCCTTGGCCACCCCCCGGCCGGCGGGCGACGGCGTCTTGGAGGCGGGGTGAGGGTCTGCGCGCCCCTGGCCCCGCGTCCGTGTGCGCTGGGCATCCGAGGTCCAGGGTCCAGGACAGGAGCTAAAAGGCAGGGGGGCAGGGGGGGAGCAATTCTGAGGGACAAGCAGGTTCTGAGACCGGATGCTCGAGGGGGCCTGGAAGGGTTGGATTTTACTGTTCCCCAGAAGCCCGTCCCTGGCTGCAGCCCCCGCGGAGACCCCCGCAGAGACCCCCGCAGAGGCCCCCGCAGAGGCCGTGGACAGCGGTGTCCCCCAGGCACGGCTGGAGGGCTCTGACTCAGAGCTGGACAGGTAGGGGCGGGGCTCCCTGACCTGGTAGCCCCGGCCGCCCGCTCCCCTGCGAGGGGGCACCACGGTCTCCCCTGCACGCTGTGCAGGGCAGCGCCGTGGCCCTAGGTGCCCTGCCCACTCCATTCTTTTCTCTTCGGTCCACACATAAGCATCTCAGCCCCTCTGCCCCTCTGCAAGGCTGCGGGGACCTGGGTGTGAACATGCGCGTTTCCAGGAGGGAAGAGGGGCACTGAGTCAGCAACTCTCGGGCTGCCCCTCATGGGACGTGGGCGCTTCTGTGTCTGCTTTGTTCCACAGTGACGATGAGTTTGTCCCCTATGACATGTCGGGGGACACAGAGCTCAAGAGCGGCAAGGCGCCCCTGTACGTCCGGGACTGTGTGGAAGGTGGGTGTGGGCCCAGGCGGGCCTTGCCGTCTGCTCCGTGGGGCGGCCCCCAGCCCTGGACAGCCCTCGTCCTGATACTCGGGGCCTCCAGGAAGCCCTCGGCAGGACAGCAGGTGTGGCTGTGGCGCCTGGCTCAGGGTCAGCGCCGACCGAGAGTGACCAAGGCCCGTCTGGGTTCTGCGCAGCCCTGACCACGTCCGAGGACGGGGAGCGCTGGGAGGCAGCCCTGCGGGCGCTGGAGGGCCTGATCTGCAAGAGTCCCGAGGCCACCCGGGAGGTGAGCGGGCGTGGGGCGGCGGGGAGGGTGGAAAGGCCTGCCGTGGCCGCTGCCCCTGCACTGTCTGCGTCCTGGGTCCCAGAGGGTGGTGTCTGGCTTGCGTGTGATTCGGTGGCCGCCTCTTCTGCTGGGGCGGGTGGCAGGTGGGGCCACGAGCAGGTGGCCGGGGGCTGCAGGCGTCCGATTGCTGTCCCATGCAGGTGAGCGTGGAGCTGGCCAAGGTGCTGCTGCACTTGGAGGAGAGGACCTGTGTGGCGGGATTTGAGGGCCTACGGCAGAGAGCCCTGGTGGCTGTCACGGTCACGGACCCGGCCAGGGTGAGCCAGTGCCCTGGCCAGTGCGGGCATAGCAGGGACTGTTTGAGGCCCTGTCTGGTGCCCGAGGCCATCCCGGTGGCCTGTTGGGTCCCAGTGGCTTCCTTTGTGCACTCAGGTAGCCGAGTATCTGACCTCACAGTTCTACGCCCTCAACTACAGCCTCCGGCAGCGCATGGACATCCTGGACGTAAGTGTCGCTGGGGCTCTGTCTCCCTGTCGGGGCTAGGTCCAGGAGTCCCCTGGCGTTGGCCCCGAGGGACTCGGGCCGGCCTCTGCCTGCGGTGAGTGACGGCAGGTCGCACTCAGCAGCGGCGGAGTTGGGGCTCGACAGCTGGGTTCTTTTGTTTTTTAAAGTGACAGTTTTAGTGATGTGATTCACACACCATAAAGCACACCCTTTGGGATGCATTGTGGGATGTTGCTCAGCTGTAACCTGAAATTCTGATACATGCTACAACACGGATAAGCTGCAAACACGTTACGCTTGAGCCAGTCTCAGAGGCCAGCGAGTGTATCGTGGGCTGCGTTCAGGTGGATTGCCCAGGGTCATCAGGGCCGCGGAGACAGCAGAGCGGAGGTGCGGGGCTGTGGGAGCAGGTGGGGTGAATGTTTACCAGGAAGAGCTTCGATTTGGGAAGATGGCAGAGTCTGGAGGCAGGTGCTGGTGGTGGTTGCCCAACATGAAAATGTGTACTTGATTAGCCCATGGAAGTCAGTTTTGTTAAATGATTAAATGTGTATGAATACTTTTATCTTTATTCGGCTGTGGCGCGATGGTGTCAGCGTTGTAATCCTAGCACTTGGGGCTGATCGTGTGAGACACCAAGGTAGAGTTCGAGCCAGGCGAGCATAGGTGAGACCCATCTCTCTTATGGTATAAGATATGGTAACATGATAAATTATGTGGACAATCTAATGAATGGTATTGATACAAAATTCAGCTGGCTATGGTTGTTGTTTCGTTGGGTGGCGGTACTGTAGGTCCAGCTACTCGGGTATGCTGAGGCAGGAGGAGTGCTTGAGCCTAGCAGTGGAGTGCTGAGGTAGGGCTGCGCCGCAGGTCTAGCGCCAGCAAAGAGGTAAGATTTCTCAAAAAAAAAGAGAAGAAGATAAAGACAATATTGATTTTCCACAGTAAAACAAGGAAGGACCAACGAGGACATCACAAGATGACCATTTGGTTGTTTTTTTTTTTTTGAGACATGAGTCCACTTTTTGTCCAGCGTGGAGTGGTGCCGTGCGTGCAGCCTAGCTTCACAGCAACCTCAGTAATCCTGTCGTCAAGCGATTCTCCTGCCTACCGTCGAGTAGCTGGACTACAGCATGCGCCAGCCAGGTCCGCTAGATTTTGTAGTTTTATATCAGTTGGCCATATTTCGTTGTCTTTTATATGTAGAGACGTGTCTTGTGCGCTGCTCGGCTGTTCTGAATCCTGACCTTGAGCAATCCGCCCGCCTCGGCCTCCCAAGAGCTAGGATTACAGGTGTGAGCCACAGCGCCCGGCCAAGAATTCACTATTTTTAAACGAACAGTTCGGTGGCGTGTGGTACACTCACTCGTCTGCTCCAGAGGTTTCCATGGCGCCACAGGGAAGCACGGTGCTGTGAGCGCTGCTCCCCCCACCCCCCGCCCCCGGCCTGCATCCTGGCTTGGACTTGCCTACCCTTGACGTTTCGGAGAAATGGAGTCACGTGCACGTGGCCTTGTGTCTGGCCTCCTTGGCCGACCTGGTGTCTGGGGGCAGCACCTGGGCCCTGTCCCGCACACTTGCATTCACTGAGGCTGTGCATACTTGGTGGGTAGCTTTTAGGTGTGTCATTTGTCCCCAGAGTGGTGGGACTGCCCGGGTGTCTCCACTCCTCCAGGTCCTGACCCTGGCTGCCCAGGAGCTGTCCCGGCCTGGCCGCCTCAGCAGGGCTCCGCAGCATGGCCGCCCTAGTCCTGGCACCTGTGGCTCGCTGCCACTGGCCGCCTCCCAGCCTGGCAGCACTGCGGCTCCCAACTGGCGGGTGGCAGTGGAGGAGCGGATCAGGAGCAAGACCCGGCGGTTCTCCAAGGTTAGCCTCGAGGGCACGGGCACTGTGGGCAGCCAGTTGCCTCCAGGTACTGTCTGCGAGCAGGGGGCAGGTGGTGGGCGGGGCCAGCACTGGTGGCCTTGAAGGGAGGGTCACGGTTCAAACCGAGGGCTGTGACAGTGCACAGGGTGGTCAACCTGGTCCAGGATCCAGCTCACGAACGATGACCTGCGGGACCGATCTAGGCCAAGAGTGGTCTTGCCCCACTCTGGGATGTGGGGAATTTTGGAGACTTCTGGCTGGCTGTGGCTGGGTGGGGGGAAGCCAGGGAGGCTGCTCAGCGTCATGCAGCATGCAGGGCAGCCCCCGCCACGGGCGTTATCCAGCCCTGGATGTCCGTGGCATGCTGGGTCCCCTGGTCTTGAGGCGAGGTAGCCATCCCTATTGCCGTCGGAAAGCCCTGGGCTGCGCAGCTTTGCCCATCCTGCGTTGGGTGGGGGTGCTGGTGCAACCCGTGGCACCTCCGTGAGATCCGTACTAGGTGTTGCAGGGCAATGCCCACTGTGTGTCTTGTGGGTGTTCCAATGCATCAACTCCGGGCGGTTTATTTTCCCCTCATCCGCAGCGCGCTGTCGACAGGTGAGTGTCGGCTTCCTACAGTGTTCATGCCGATATCGTCTGTTGACACGTGTGTAAATCGTGTCATGTAGATGTCATCTCTGGCCTCTATTCGGTGTGGAGATTATAGAGTTCTTTCCTCAGCAACTTTTAGTCAGGCATACTCTTCTACCTTATGTCACAAAGTATCACTTTACCCCAACATTTGTCCACTTTCTCTTCCCTCGTTCCAACATT